CGGAAGTTTTCGGGTTCGAGTCGCGGTCTTCTCGCATTGCACAGGCAAGGGTAAGGCTTGCCACTGACACCCTTCCCTAGACCCCGCACAGAGCGGGAGCTCTCTGCACTGGGTACGCCTTTTTTGTTTTTGCGTATACTCACTTGCATAACTGAAAAACTGCAATTCCTCTGCTTTTGATTTTGATGGCCAGCATTCAACACAAGTCCTTCGCAGTATTGTGTTGTCCATCAGAATGGAAAATGCAAATGAGATTTGTGTTCCAGTCTGAAGTCCAATCGCTCATTAGATATATGAATAAGTACATTTTAGAATCACACCCTGAATTATGAAACAGGTTATTTACCCCTTCATCTTCTAAGACCAGATTAAGGAAGATCACTTGATTGTTTGGCTTGGTTGTTTGAAGTGGACATGACCTTAGGTTGCTTTGCCACTTGGGTATAATACATGTCAGGTGACCCATGTTGTCAAATAATCATAGGAACCCTTATTTGATTCTCATTGTGCTTCCAGTTGCCTATAAATACCATGCAAAGATGATTTAGCCTTCACCAGCTTCATCCACTATAATGGCTGACTGGAGCATTAGTCTAGCGCTCTGCTCCTGGCGTTCCTTGCCCTCCTGGTGATGGTCAAGTCTTCATAGATTCCTACTGCAAACCATGTGGTAGCTGTAGATCGTGACAGAACTGACCAGATGGCTGCAAGTTGCCTCATCAATACTTCAGAGCTTGTTAATGTCTACTCGAAAACAATAGTCTTGGTAGGAATTGAATGTGATGAGTGGTGCAAATGTGAGTTCTTAGCTTGGGCTCATTTCAATGGTGGTGGCAGAGCCCCTAGGAGTCTGACGGAGACAACATTGCATTAAGGAGAGTTGATGGTAAATTGGCTTCTCAAACTTGCTTTGAATCTAATCAGAGGAAGCAGGCAGAGCAACCCAAGAAATAGACAGCCAGTTTGGTAGAGCTCCACTCCTAGATTCTCTGGCTCTGCTCTTTGGTTCTCTAGTGGAGTGATTCTACTTGATTATGGTGGGGGAGCAGGGTGGGGAGCAGGCGAGAATTGATTCTAGATTGATTCTTGTGGGTTTTGAACAGGGAGCAATGTAGAGCAGGTTTTTTAGTTCCCACCTCCCAGTGTAAATGGAGAAGTGATTCTTGCCTACTCCACCTGAATCTGTGTGAGCAGTTTGGCAGAGATTCTCTGACCGAAATTGATTTTCTACGATTCTCTAGGATATTCTATGCATACAGTGATTCAGTGCGTGAAGTGAATCAGGAGAAGCTACTTTTTTTCCAGCTCCCAGCCTCTAGTCCATTTTAGAGTATCACTTCATAGAATCTGCAAAGACTCACTTCTTAGTAAAAATCTGTTTGGCAGAGCTTCTCCTCAATTCAGCCTGGAAGCTCATAGAGAATCACTTCCAGAGAGCCTTGCCAAACTGCCCCTCAAGCTTCTTTAAGCTTACAGAAATAAATTTGTCCATTCAAAGTGTTCACTTTACACCGGTTGTTAATGTTTTTGTATTTCATGATACACTGCCCTTGCAGAATTGGTTCTCAGAGAATAATACAATTGTTGTCTTTTACTCTATTTTAGGCTTTGGATGTGCAATACCAGGTGCATGGCCGAAGACACTGTCATACTTGTTTGCAGACGAGTACCTTGCTGGAAGTCTTGGAGGGATTGTCTGTTCCAGGTACTAGTGTGTGATTCTGATATATGTGCCGTATCAGGAGCAAGTTGGAATTTCATTTTTTTAAATAGTTAATATTGTTCTAGTGTAAAATTGACGCTCTGTATGTCTTGTCATCAGGAGTGCGACGGCTTGTTGTTATTGAACAAAGTACCAGATTTGTGGAAGGAATCATCTCATTGAGAGACATTTTTACATTTCTCCTTGGATAGCATCTGTGTAGCCATTCCATACATGAAAAAAGCTTGTTGTACTTGGTTCAAACGAAATAAAAAGGTTACAAATGTGATAGTCATCTTCTTTCTTCCATCTTGCTTTGGTTCATATTATGCCGCAGACACTAAAGATGGCAACGGGGATGTACCCGTCGGGTATCGCCGGAACGTTCTCTTTCCCGCTACGGAGAATTCATTCCATCCCCGTCCCCGTTAACTGTCTCGAGTATAGATTCTTGCCCATCCCTGTACTCGTCGGGCATTGGTCGGGTAACAGATACCCGACGGGTACTGCATACCCGATAAACAAGGACGCTTGAGGTCGCAGCTTTGCAATCGGAGATGTTTCTTCTTCACTCGGGTATAAGTGTCGGAGTCTCGGAGATGTCGAGGAGAAAGAGCGAGGTTGCGATGAGGACGAGCAAAGGTGGCAGAGAGACCGAATTGAGGAAGCGAGGGGCACGAGCGCTCGTGAGGCAGGCGTGCTTGTGCTGTTGGCGGAGATATTGAGGAAAAATTAAACTAGGGTTCCTAGAACACACAAACTATATATATGATTGTTCAGATTTGGGCCAAAATACCTATGTTGAGCTTTTTTGGGCCTAATACTCGCATGGCAGCTCAAATAGTCGGGTTCCCCAACGGGTAACAGGGATGGGTAAACAGGGAACGTTCCCGTACCCGCTATACCCGTCGGGGATGGATTCTTGCCCATTTAGATGCCCGCGGATAAAGATATGATCCCATCCCATCCCCTAATGGATCAAATACCCGTCGGGTATCGGGGGGCCGTTGCCATCTTTAGCCGACACTACATAATTGAATTGCGCTGAAAGAAAAAACAGCCAGGTGCTGCAGGCTTGCTAAACAGAATGGAGAAGTGTTCAGGTGATTGTTTCTTGCTCTCGTCCAGCTGCCAATTCCTGATTTGCAGGCTTGCAGAATTGCTACTTGCGAGTTAGGAATGCTTCGCGATCTTTTTAAGAGGTTGAGATTTCTCTCTGGTTGTGTTTTTAGAACATCGATACGGGCTACAGAATCATTTTTGTACCGTCTTTGAAACAAGGGAATTTTGAAGGAACTGAATCTCGTGTTTTTTTGGGGTGGGGTGGGGGGGATGAGGTCAAAGGACCTCTTCAAATTTGGTTTTTTATGGATCCATAAACGACCTCATACAAATGATTTTCTTGAAGCATTGCTGTCATTCCAGTTCTATAGGATTTGCAGGGTGTTACTGTACAATCACAATGCTTTTCATGAAACCATTTGGTTTTGCTTTCTGTTTTCAAACAACTCAGAAGATTTGGCTGCAGGAGAATTGTATATGTTTCATTGTTGTAGTCAGCAGTTTATCTTGGTGTGGAATGACATTAGGCAAGGTATTTTTGTCATGAAAGACTGAACTGTACAAGAAATTGCTATCATAAGGAAAGGGAATTCAGGAATTTTGGTTCATGCTCGAAATCTGTCGATTATTCGCACTGTGGCTCTTTAAGAGTAGAGATAAAAAGGAATAGGTACTCGAGGAAAATTTGTTATGTCACTTTGCAGTACTAGTAAGGGAATGAGGCTGTAGGAACTCTTTTCAAAGTTCAAATACGAACTTTTTGTGGATTATTGAACACATAGTGCAAACAATTCTCTTGAAACACTTCCTCTGTTTCCAGTTTTATATGGGATTTGTATTCGCATTTGGTTTTGTTTTCTGTGTTCAAATGGTTTTGAAGATTTGATTGAAGCAGACTCGCATGTGGACTCGCTTGGGACTGAAAGGCTATGTTGTTGTTGTTGTTGTTGTAGACTCGCATGTGGACATGTGGTGCATTGGTTTCGTCAGCAGCTCGTCTAGCTTCTCTCGTCCGATGCAAGACCTTAGTGGAAAATGACCTTAGGAAAGATGTTTGTCTTTGTGAACGAAGCACAAAGGCTGAAAATAGACGCACTCATACAACCACTACAGCACTAATCCAGTAACGATATGAATTATACATTTTCTACTCCGAAGGAGTGTGAATTTTAATTTCTTTTTAAAATCAGTCAAATATTCACAATCATGCTATCCATTAAACATCAGAGCCAAATAGCACGATACTTTTCTTCGATATGAACTGTCACGCCAGTCTTAAATGAGATGAACCAGAGAGTTTGTCTTAGTCTTAGCCTGGAGAACATGAAAACGAACTGACAACACCAACTGGCATGGGTAAATTATGTGTCGAAGTGTAATCAACGGCAGGACAAGTAAACTTGATTGCTTTCTTGTCTCAAGCGAGTAATTTCCTCGGAGAGAAATGTGAAATGCGCAGTGTCTGACTTATACTCGACTTTCAGATTGAATTCCTGAGAAATATATTCATCGGACCTGCAGCCAGCCCATGAAAGAAATATAGCAGCGCTGTGCCAGGAATTTTTCCACGTCCTCTTCAGTTCATTCATTACTTCCTTAGTCTGTTAGAATGAGCATTTGATTTGACAAGAGAAACCAGTTCCCACAAATTTCATGGATCTGCAATTTCTTGGACGAAAGCACCATCAAGTTCAGCGTGAAACTGCAAGATCACACTCCAGCATCATATTCCCATTTTGCAGCAGTAGTGAAATATAATGGTTAGGTCCTGCACCCGCAGACAGAGTGAGATTTGTATCACTAGGAGCTGAAGATATACTGGTAACAGATCTTGAAATATGTCCAAATTCTCGCATGAAATGGTATAGGAGTCTTAGCGGGTATTATCATTGCAACTAGGGCCGGTCCTCTTTCTGAAATGTTCTCTATTTTCAGCGTTTCAGAAATCTGCTACACTCCACTGTGATACCAATGCTCTGCAACCTCCACTGCGTCCACGTTCCAATGCATTCTGCATCCAACAAGTATACCTTCCCACACATAACTGTCCACTTCCATGGCTATCTTCCTGACAGTGAAGATTTGGCATCACTAAGAGATCAAGCTATACATCGCTAACAAATCCTGAAATATATCTAAATTCTCACAGCCAAACTAATCTCTACTTTCAGTGTTTCTGAATTCTGGTATATCTCACTGTGACCAGATAGTTCATCATAGTGATACCATCTTTGAGCTATGTTGTAACTGAACTGCAGCCAGTATTCCTCCTGCCAATCCTTTCATCCATTAACATTCTAATCCTTGCGACATCCTCCCACCTGCCAGCATCTGCATAGATCCCAGCCATTGCAGAGTACACCCCACTGTCATCTGGATTCAGTTGCAACAAATGCCAAGTTGCAACCTCAGCGGCCTCCACATTCCGATGCATCCTACATCCAGCAAGTATGCCTCCCCACACATAACTGTCCCCTTCCATGGGCATCTTCCTGACCATTTCCATTGCTTCTTCGATCAGTCCAGCACGACCAAGCAAGTCGGCCATACACCCATAGTGTTTCAGTTCCCGGTGCACATTGTGCTTGCCCTCCATGTCACAAAAGATGCGCCTTGCCATGTCCACAAGGCCAGTGTGGCTACAAGCAATCAGCACCCCCAAGAGAGTGACCCCGTCTGGCTGGATTCCATCAGCCACCATCTGGTGGAAGAACTCAAGCGCCACTGTTCCATGGCCATGCATCGCCAGCCCAACAATGAGAGCATTCCACGTGAATACGTTCCTGTCCTGGCAGGCCTCGAACACCTCCCTAGCCTCCTCGATGCACCCACACTTGGCATAGAGATCAACAAGCCCTGTGCACAAGAACACGTTGGGATGGGTCCTGCTCAGCTTGATGTACTCATGCACCTCCTCGCCCTTTTCCAGCACCCCTAGCTGCGCACAGCATGAAAGCACCGCCACCAGGGCGACACTGTCAGGCCTGAAACCCTCCTCCCTCATCCGGTCAAATAGTCCCACCGCCTCCTCGAGCCACCCCGCCTTGCCACAGCCGGCGATCACTGTGCCCCAGGACGTGGCGTCCCGAACGGGCATCTCCTCGAACACCTCCCGAGCAACGCCTACCCTCCGGGCGTTTACGTACGCGTGCATCAGCGTGTTGTAGGAGACGACGTCAGGGGCGAAGGGCATTTCCTCGAACACCCTGCGCGCGGCGTCCGGGACCGCGTGCCTCGCGTACAGGGCGACGAGCGCGTTGGCCACGTTCGGGAACGGGAGGAGGTTCCACGCAACCGCGACGGCGTGTAGGGAGAGCGCGAGCCTCAGGTGGCGGCGGCCCGCGGAGGAGGCGGCTGAGACGGCGAGCGGGAGGGAGTGGCGGGTGGGCGCGACGGAGAGGCGGAGGGAGGAGCGGAAGAGGAGGAGCAGCGCGGCGGTGAAGGGCCGCGAGAGGCGGGAGTAGGCGACGAGGAGGAGGGTGTGCGGCCGCGGGTCCCGGACGGAGAGGTGGCCAGCGACGGCGGCGAGCGCGTGCGCCGCGAGGAGGCGGTGGTGAATGTTTTTTTTAACACTTTTTTTAAACTATTCTTAAACGGTTTGTTTTTTTTTCTTTAAAGGTAACACTTTTGTGGCGCCTATTTCCAGTACGCGGCGAAACAACTCCGCATCGTCACGGCAGGGGTGCGTACGTGGCAACATCCCGCCCCGCTGGTCGCTGACGTGGCAGGCCTTGCCGCGCCACCGATCAGGGCGCGGCTGTGACGCGCCACCCGTCAGGGCGTGGCAGAGCCAAATAGAGGCCCGCAGCCCAGTCCCTTTCCTCCCTCTCTATTTTACTCCGCGCCGCACAACAGCCGCCTCCGCACCGCCTAGCCATCGCCGCCGCGCCTCCCCCGCCGGCTCCCTCTCTCCCTTGTCTTCCTCTCTCAATCCCTCCCTGTCCCCACTGCGCGGCCGCCCTTCCCCGTCGTCGGTGCAGCCGTCGCTTTCCTGTGGCACGGCCTCCCTCTCTCCCCATCCTCTTCCTCCTCTGCCACCCCCTATCCTTAACCCTCCTCCAACTTTGGACGCAGAAGAAGCCCGCCGCCGGCCGGCCATTGCCGCCGGTGGCCAGCTCGTCGCCTTAGGTGGATTGGGTGATCCTCTTGCCGCTGGCCGACCATTCCTGCTGTGTTTTATCAAGGTAATCCTCTTGTGCATTTGTTGCTTCAATAGAATTGTTGTTAGCTAGGGTTAGGATTCAAAATTAGTCAATGAAATTAGTAAAGTTAGATAGATAGGTATAATTAGTGAAGTTAGTTAGTATAGTTGGTTATTACAATTAGTTAGTATTGTTAGTATAGGTACTAATATTAGTTAGTGTATTTAGTATAGTTAGTTAGTATAATTAGTTAGAATTTTTGTTATAGGTATTAATATTAGATTAGTTAGTTTTCTTATTTAGTAGGCATGACGATTTGGACGACCTGATGAAGTTTCTTGAAATGCTTTTGTAGATGGATTGTTGTGTTAGAGTTTTTTACGGAGAAAGTGTTAGGAGAGAAGATGGTATGTTTGAGGATATAGAAGAAGAATTGGAATGGTTTGATGAACCTCTAGCTTCAGCGATCTTTGTGTCCGTTTGAAGGGAAAGTTTGACGGTGATTTCACACTGGAGGAGAGGTTTGATAGTGGAAAGACTAGGGCACACTACGTGCTGATGCCCTTGCGCGATCATGCTCACTGGTACCGCTACAATAGGGTAATCTAAGGTTCCAATGTGGTCATGGCTGAGGTGGTGGTGGAGAGGTACAGGATGCATGGTCTCCAGAATGGGGCCGTCCTTCAACGGTGATACTCAACAAGAATGTGGGGTTCATGTGGAACAAACTATGGGTTTGGATGGTTAGTTGACGCAGGAGCAGTTTCATCCAAGTCAAGTAGGCTGTATAAGCAATGACTTTGATATGAACGAGTTCGAACGGGAAGAGAAGGAGCGGGAGGACAGGATCGGTGATGTAGTTAGCAGCGATTCAAACGATTCAGATGATGACCATGGAGGTAGACATGCTATGCCCACACCGGTTTATACCATGCAGTACCTGTTCATGGTATGCCATTACCAGTACCAACTGAGGTTTTGCAAGCTATGCCGGTTCAGGGTAGACTAGTCATAGATTTGCCAGCAGATGATACCCTCTATGATTCATGGGGCAGAATTAGTGAAGCACAACAGTATGTTCCACCACCACCTTACACAGCAGCAGCAAGGTTTTGATGCATATAATTTAGGGGGTTTCAAAAGATCGCAATGGTCATTAGTGATTGATACAGTCTTCTAGATAATGTTTAGACAAGATGGGCACCAAACAATGCAGCACCGAGAAAGTTCTACTACAATACAAATACCAAATCTAAAGCATTGAACTAGCACACCTGTACCAATCCTCTACCAATCCTTAGTCTGAAATATACTGAGTAAGCAACTCGTCGTCCGAGTACCAGTCCTCTACCACTACCTCGTTGCTATAGCTAGGCTCACCTGTATTGCCCTGATCTGCCTGTCGCCTATAGTAAGCTGCCTCCGCTTCACCTGCGGCCTCTGCGGCCTGAGTTAAGAACGTGTCCTCCTCTGTCTAGCTCATGTGGCTAGGCTCACCTGCATTGCCTTGATCTATTTGTCGCCTGTAGTAAGCGACCCTCGCTTCATCTGCGGCCTCTGCGGCCTGAGTGAAGAACACGTCGTCATCCTCCTCCGCCTGCAAGCTCGCCTTTGCTAGAGCGATGAGCTCGCTCAGTCTGCCAGTATTGTCCTCAGCCTCCTCCGCCTGCAAGCGCGCCTCAGCTAGAGCGATGAGATCGCTCAACCTAGCAGTGTCGTCCTCATCCTTGTCCCCCTTATCAGACACCACAATCGGAGATTGAACGGTGCGACCAGCTCGTGTTCTGTGCTCATGTAACTTATTTTCCTCAAATCTTGCACGGGCCACCTCTGCGGCATGGTCCTTGCTACATCCAATCCCTTCATGTATGAAATGCAACAAGTTAGGAACGCGATTATATTACATTTAAAAGCAGGCAATGAAAATAACAAGGCTTCCAATGACTCACTGGCACACAATGCAACAACATGGTCATTCAAGACCTGCATCTGTACTCTTTCCTCCTCCCTTGCCTCCTTCCTTGCCCTCTCCTCCGCTAACGCCCTCCGTCTCTCCAACCCCCATTTGTCAAGCCTAATATCGATCGGGTTACGAATACCGCGCTATCTAGCAAACTCACGCATCTTGTTTTTGTGATGTTTAACGAATAGGTTGACGTAGTCAGGTCCATATCCCCTCTTCTGTGCAATTACTTGCCTCCCATTCAGTTCATCCAAGAACTTAGCTTGACCATCATAACATTCCCACCTGCATTTCCTAGTGCTCTGTTCAAATGAAAAATTATATCATATATGTCTTAGCGAAAGAAACAAAATACGATTTCATGTTTACCACAACAATAACCAACCTCATCATAGTCAACCATATGGCCACAATAATGGCCTATTCCAAGCTTCGAAGGGACTAGACCGTAGTTGGATTTAACACCACATTCGCACATGACTGGAAGTGCTTTGTAAATTAACCTTTCTTTTTTCTTTTCTTTTGGCTTTGGTGGCTCTGGCCATTGATTCTTAGAACCGTAGAGCCACTCATTGAAATGACACTTTGCAAATCCATAACTCTACAAGAGAATACATTAGTACACGCACACATATAGATATAAACATTTAAATAGATACACTTTCCACTTACTTCGTGCTTGTTTGAACACACAAACTCCAACGTATTCTCAGGGTTTATCACAGCTCGATCTCCGCATTCGCACAGAGGAGGTTCCTCGAGTCGTCTAACTGCGGTTAGGTGCTTCTCCTTAGCCATCATTGGTGGTGGTGGCTGGGGGGGTTAGGGGGGGTGGAACCCACCGCTCAAACCCATCACGTGGATGCCTCCCTCTACACCAATCATCGAAAAGGAGGTACCTAGGGTCAAACTTGTCTGTACCGTCGATCCACTGAAAGAAAAAGCACCTTTCATGGGCCTACACAACAAGATTCCAACAAAATATTAGTAGCCTATTTACACAAATGAAGAAAAAAAGATAGTGAAAATAATTACTTACATTAAAACGACTGCATGTGTAGAAGCAATGCGCCGCTGTGTATGGATGTCTCGATTGAAACACGTCGGTCGGGAAACCACAGTCACAGTTAGGGATATGGAGGTCAGGAGGGACGGGGGCATCTTTGCAAGACGTGTCGGTGTATAATTCTCTAGGATGACCCCGTTTTCGCCAAAACTCCTTTCGATACATGTCTTGCATCTAACAAAATGGTTGTAATTTAACAAACAAAAATCAAAACATCACAAATTAATGTCAATGAGAACCATTTGCATTACAACATATAAAATATAACCTACACTTTGGTGCAAACTCTATCTTAGATGTAAACATGCAAACTATATAAAAACTATACTTTGGTCACTAAAAAATAAAATTTGGTACATCAACAGTGTGTCCATATATTTATTCACATATAAAAGTTGAGATGCAAACTCAAACAAGCAAAATTCATATAAAAATTGACCTTAGAATACATGGTAATCATAATTCTAACTAACCAACTAACCTTAACATTGGCAATTCTAATCCTAATCCTTCAATCCAACGTTCTAACGAACTCATATTTTCCTCCATACCCTAACTACTCATTCAAAACCTTCGATCCACCGTGGAGGCCAAGGAGGAGGCTCATTACCTTGACAAGGACGAGGAGGAGCTTCGGGGAAGGTAGGGAGAGGATCGGCAAGGGAGGGAAAGTCGGCGGCCGGCCATGGGGGAGCCGGGAGGCAATGGCGCGGCGGTGCGGGCTGGGAGGCGCGGCGGCGGGGGCTGGACGACGCGGAGGTGGCTGCTGTGCGGCGCGGAGTGAAACAGAGAAGGAGGAAAGAGACTGGGCTGTGGTCCTCTATTTGGCTCTGCCATGCCCTGACGGGTGGCGCGTCACCACCGCGCCCTGATCGGTGACGCGGCAAGGCCTGCCATGTCAACGACCAGCGGGGCGGGATGTTGCCACGTACGCACCCCTGCTGCGCCACCATGCATGGCGCGGCAGAGTTGTTTTGCCGCGCCCTGAAAATAGGCGCGGCCAAAAGTGTTAAAAAACAGTG